CTGTAGTCCCCAGTGCCAGAAAGCCAACGTCCCGGAGTCTAGCTGGCCCCGCTGTTCTGGCTCAGCTGCGGAAAGGCTTAAGGGATAAAAGAGCTAGTCCACCTTCCATTTCCATTTACTTACTCAGTCAAGAGGGACAGAGGGACACAGAATTCCTGAGATGTGGTTCCCTGAGAGTCTGAGCAACTGAGAGAATTGTTTCTTGAGAGGTTGGCTCTCAGGTATGGTAGAAACTTGTATTGATTTAGGTAAAACTTCCTGAATATTCTGTGTGGCAGGCCCTATTCTATAAGCCCTGAGAGCACAGAGATGACAAGACACAAGTTCCACGTCCTAGGACTCTCCTTTTAAGGGCAGGAAAGAGTTTGGTGGTGGGGGTGGGAGGAGCAGAATGGAAAAATATAATTCCAGCAGTAACTGGTAAGTACTCCAATAGAGACATGGCCAGGGCCCCCCGAGGGCTAAGAGGGAGGGAGGGCGGGGGAGGAGAGGGGCTATACTAGGTGGCAGGAGCAGTTGGCCTTTGGGGCCAAGTCTGGGGGTAGGGGAGGGGAGGGGTGTGGGCACTCTCGGAGCTGGAGCAGGTGACTCCAGAGGTTTCAGAGCACAGGTGCGGTCAGGGAAGTCAGCACCTGGAGGGCCCAGGCGGCTGCCGCAGAGAGCAGAGGGGCAGAACGAGGCACTGCAGCCTCGTTTGGACTCAGCAGGCAGGGCTTCCTCCTTGCAATCCGCTGCTGCCTGATGCACCGCCCTCCCCGCCCCCGTCCCTGGCCAGCAGGTCTGTTCTCTCTCTCTCATTCTTCTAAAACTATTCTTGTGTTACAAACTACCTACTCTTCCATGGGCCTGCTAAACTGGCGGTTGTTTGCCCTTCCGTTGACTTGTTGACTCGCTCGTCCAGCCTTCTACTCTGGCTGGGCTGCCCACTCCTGCCTCCGGGAGGCAGCACGGTGCCGTGGAAAGGGGAGGAAGCCTTGGCTCGGAGTAGAGGCTGCCTTGGAATTCCGGAGGCCACTCAGTAGCTGTGAGATCTTGAGCCAGTCACTTACCTCTCCCCTCTGTGGTGACCTGTGGTGAGTACGGCCACAGCCCGTGGGACCGAAAGGCTTAACTGAGACCCTGTGAAAGTGCAGGGGGAGTGGCAGCCTCTTTCTGTGGGCTCTCTCCTCTCTCCCACACTGCCCAAGCTCTCCCTGTCTTTTCTGGCATTTGGAGCAGGTGCCTCCCCTCTCCCTTTGGGGGTTTCCACTTCACGGGACTACAGCAATCCAGAACCTTCAGTCTGGCAGGAGAGGCCAGACATGTGTCCTATAGTGGCTCCCCCCGTGGACCAGAGCCATCACTCGCCTATCTATGGAGCAGAGGCAGGAATCTCTGCACTTTGGAAAAGGACTCCTGCAGGACAGCTTCTGTCTTAAGGCCTCAGAGAGAGAGATCTGTTCATAGGGCACACTTAGTTCCAGCCACTGACCCCTCTTTAAACCCCACCTCCCAAGCGACGGAGCAGCCCAAGTATGTCTTCTTCTCTCCTGCGAGAGGCCAGAAACAAAGACGGTGTCTCCGGTTACTTAGGAAATGTTTGGCTCCCTGCATCTTTCCTAAATCCACCATCAGGTCCTCAACAAGGGGATGTTCCAGCATCCTGTGCTGTCCGTGGGAGGCCTTCACGGCCCTCAGCCCGAAAGCTGAGCTGGGTGAGCAACTGCCCCCTTCCCCCAGTAGGAACCAGAAATGCCAAGACCACAAGAATCAAGTTGCAGGCTGGGTGAGACCATGTAGAAGCTGAGACATCACCGGGTCCTCTGCTGCACCGAAGATGAGAGACTGTGGAAGTTTGCTAACCTTTTCCTTCAGGTACCATTTTACAGAGCGTCCTCCATAAGCCAGACAGGGTGCCAGCTCCTGTTACGCATGACCTCAATTAGCCCCATTAACGGAAAACAAAAGCCCTCCCCAAATCTAACATTCTCACATCTCCAAATGAAAGCAAGTATTTTCATGGATGACAAGATGGGGGCTGGGGAGCCTCAGGGAGGATAAGCCAAGGTAGCCTCAAAAACCCAGTAAATGACAGATCCGGGATTTGAACTCAGATCTCCACTTATTGCTTAGAAGAAGAAATTTACTTTCCAGGAAAGAAGAAAAGACAGATGTGGAAGACGGCACAGTGATTTCAAACTCATCTCAAACGTATAAAAAAATTGCAAGTACAAAGAACATTTTCTTTCCTCTCTGAACCATTAGTAAGATGATTTGGTGCTTGATCACCACCAGAAACTTCAATGTGTCTTCAGTACAAATAAGGACATTCTCTTCACAATCCAACCACTGAAGTCAGTCAATGAACGTTGATCTCTTACTCCCAGGTCATCTGTAGACCCTGATCGAGTTGTGCAAACTGTCCCAACAATGTTTTCTTTTGTAAGAATCAAGTGTTACATTAAGTTGTCATGTCTTTTTAGTCTCCTTTAATGGAATTAATTTTGGGCACCTGGGTGGCTCAGTCAGTCAGTTAAGCATCTGACTCCTGGTTTTAGCTTGGGTCATGATCCCAGAGCTGTGGGACTGAGGCCTCTTTTGGATTTTGCCCTCTGTGGGGAGTCTGAAGATTCTCTTCCTCTGTGCCCTCCCCTGACTTGCATGAGCTCTCTCTCTCAAATAAATAAATCTTTTAAAAGATAGTATGGAATTAACTTTAATATAATGTAGGGTAAAGAGAAATCAAGCCTTTGGTGGTCCTTGGCTCTCCAAGGGTTGGGTGGTGAAGTGGATGGTGAGAGGTCCCTAGCCACCTCGGACATGAACCCAGAGGACCACGGGAGCTGCCTCTGGACATTCTCTCTGTCCTCTGGCCCAGTGCAGCCTGAGGACCACCTGGGGGCAGCGGTTCTGACTCTAGCTTAGACCCCTCACTCGGCGCTAGATAAACCCATATGAAGACAAACCTTTGACAAGGACCATCTGTGTGGCTGACTGGTACATACAGGAAGAAATGCTTCTGGAAAGTGAATTTCATCCACTGCTTACCAATTTTAATCTTTTCTTTTTTACGATGATGATGCTTAATAATGAAAATAACTATTAGAGCCAATCTGTATTGAGAAGATACTCTCAGCCAAGAATTGCACTAAATGTTTTAATTTTATCACCCCACTTAATTCTTCCAACAATATGAGGCATGCTTTTTTTTTTTTTTAAAGATTTTATTTATTTATTTGACAGACAGAGATCACAAGTAGGCAGAGAGGCAGGCAGAGAGAGAGGGGGAAGCAGGCTCCCTGCTGAGCAGAGAGCCCGATGTGGGGCTCGATCCCAGGACCCTGAGATCATGACCTGAGCCGAAGTCAGAGGCTTAACCCACTGAGCTACCCAGGTGCCCCTGAGGCATGCTTTATTATTAATCCTATCTTATAAGTGAGGACATCGAGGCATGGAAAATTAGAGAAAGTCGCCTAAAAATCACACTGAGGATGCAGCCTCCAGAATTCTTATACCATATCATCACCTCATACAAATGCATGAGAACATTGAGTCTTTTGTTTAATTCCTAACAAAATAAAATGAACTTTAATCTCCTAAAATCGTATTCTTCCTTCCCTAGAAGAAGTACTGAGAATTTAACAGAAAGACTTTGGCCCGAGTCTAACTCAGGGGGACTGCTGAGCTTACACCCTCCTCCCTCAACACAGAGATCAGGCCGGGCAGTCGTAAGTGCTAGTAAAACATTTATTTTGAAAATTCATTTGGTGATCAGATGATAAACAGAAAATGAGCCCATATCATTTACTTTATCATTTTACTTTTTACCATTTTTTAGGCTCGGACAAACCAAAATAAGACACAATGTCATACATGTGGACTTGTGAAATAGGGAGTAATAGAAATTATGCTGAAAGGAAAGCTGGGGTGTTCTTCTCTGAGTAGGTGTGATTCACCCACGACTTGCTCGAGGGCTTCAAGTGAGTACGACCGAGCATCTCCTATACACAAGGCACTTTGGAGACAGGAATCCTCAGCTTCTAACATCAGATTTCCAGAAGGCCTTCCCACACAGAGGCCGATTGGGACTGTATGTGCAGGCCTGTGCCAATGCGTGTCTCCTGGCTTCTCTCCAGGGCCAAGAGCACTCCTTGCCTAGGGGCTTGGCTCTTCCCCTCCGAGAAGTCATTTGCTCGGATGCAGAAGCCATGCCAAGGGACAGTAACTCGCTCAACACTCACCACTGGGCTGGCAGCATATCAGAGCGGAATCTTTCATTGGGGCTTTAGGCTTTGGAAGGAAGGACAACAACCTATTGTTCTTAAGGAATGATAACACCATGAGGGGTCTCCTTTGGGGAAAACTGAATGTTTCTGATCAACTGTCAACTATCACTGCTGTCAGTGGGAATTATTGGTTCCTAGGGTCCCAGGATTGAGTGATTTTAGGGAAGGCAGAAATATTGTGGGCCTACTCTAGGCTGGAGAACAAGCTTCTTCTCTACTGGACCTCAAGGTATCTGGAGAAGGTGAATTCACATAATCCATCATGGCCTGTTTTGGTTCAACAGTCAAACAATTTCTTTCCCACTAACAAAGCCAGGGCGGAAATGCAGAACTCATTTATGGTAATTCTCTCTTCACCGATTGAAAGATGCCCTCTCAAAAATTACTTACTGGAAGATTTTTCAGAAGAAAAGAATCATGACATAGCCAAGAACTCGTTCCTTGATGCCTAGCGTAGTATTTGGCTCCTAGTTGGTCCTCAATGTAGTTTCACTGGAAAAATCACAGCAGAAGCAACTCCATGAGGCAGGTACAGGCTGGCTTTGGGACACCCCAGGCCTCTACATCCTAGCCCCACAGGAGAGGAGCCTGCCAAGAGCTCACAGCCTGGCAGGCTGGTGCTCAGCACAGAGCTCGGGGCTGTCTCGTGGCAGGAGGCGCAGTCAACAACTCTTACCGAGTTCCTTGGCCCAAGGAATGTCTGGTGAACTTTATTCTCTGATGAAGAGTGACCAGGAAATCTCACTCCTCCGGGAAGCTTCTCAGAGATGCAGACAAGCCGTGCCTCCCCTGATGTTGGCTCTGCTTGTGGCTCATGACATGCTGCAAGGTAGTATCGGGGTGCAGGGGGCACGCAGGCTGTGCTGGTAGCCAGCTGAATTCTGATGACCTCAAAGTTAGTCCAGGCTCATCTTCAGCTTCTGTCTTTAAGGGAGACCCAGGTCCACGTCCGAGATCCACTACTCATCACTTCCTGCTACTGGAATGTGTGTCCTCATGATCTCATACACTTATGTATCTGACTCTACACTTTATATTCACTGCTCTCTTTTACATTTCCTAGTGTGTTTTTCATAATGTCCTCTAGGAGAGCCTATTCCACATGGTAATTGGATTAAAATCAACTAAATTTAGACTTCCTTTGGTCTACAAGGATCCTGCCTACTAAAATCAACTGCAGGGTGCCACTGGGGTATCTTGCGCAAACATAAGGGGTCTTGTTTAGGTCACTGATCACTGTGTTCCCTGAGTCTTGGAAAATGTGCTGTTAAACCTGTGGTGTATTTCATTGTGTTTACTTCAGCCGGTGGTATGGGGAGCTAGCTGGGAGCAGATAACAAGCCAAGAGGTTCTTTTTGTTTTTGTTGTCTAATATCAAACGTTAACAATGAACACTTATCTACTAAGGGTGTTACTAAGAGAAGGCACAGCCACTGCTGCTATGTACTAGCTCTCAGTCATGTTTCTGCAGGTCAGGACTTAGATTTTGGACAGATCATCCTTTAGCCAGTCAGCTACCATGTCAGCCATTTCCTGCGGAAAACGGAGGATAAAAGCATGAGGGATTTTTTTCTCACAGAGTCGAATATCTCCTTCTGGAAATTCTTTCTTTATGTCTTCATAGTATGCCGTTGGACACCAAGCATCTATAGTTCCATAGTAAAATGTAAGCTAAAAGACAAGACAAAAACATTGTATTAGAAAATATTTTCCTCTTCCAACACAAACATGACACCAGCGACCTGCAATGCTTTGGAAACAGCTCCCGTCTCTGGCCCTGCAGGCTAGTCCCAAGGCCCCCTCCAGAGCATGGCTCTCTTGAGGCAGTGACCTTCATGGTGTATGGGAGTGAATTAAGAGGCATCTGATGGAAAGAAATCCATTCCCGTATAAGGAGGGAGAGTCCTGTGTGAGAGATCACCCGTGATCCACTTAAAGGACGTGTACATTGAGGCTGGGATGGGCACTGGAGAGATGATTGGTGAGGACGAGGACGAGTTACTGAGATGTAATCATTGAGAGCCTAGTGACCATTCATTACACACCTCACCGTTTCCATGCAGCCACATGGTAGGTGGATGCGATAGGTTTGTTGAATGCATCCAAAGATGAATCAGATAGACTCAGGCTTCTCAAGGTAGCAGATGAAATGTGACCAGAATCCTGAGAGTGTCTGTAACATTTCTAAGAACAGGCTCCACGTAGCAGGAGAATGTGCTGACTCAGTGGGCGGGTGACCCAGCCCTACTTCGGGTGACGGCAAGCAGCTGCAGGGAGACACAGCCTCTGTGAGGACATTACTAAGAGCCTTACTGGAAACTGATCTAGACCTGTCCACACACACACACACACATATATCCCCTGCTTTTCCAAAGTCTGTGTTCTGCTGCTTTGCGTCTCTGAAATACTTATGTTAGTACCTGTTTTTGCCAACTGAAAGAAATCCAAAGAGATTTTTTGCTTTTATGAATAAGGGTGAAAAGTGAAAGCAGTGCTCAGTGTTCGTCTGGCAGCGGGCAGGTAGAGAGGCCGCGTGCTGCGTGTGTGTGCACGGCTCCCCTGAGCACCTTCCCCTGGAACCCCACTGCACATCAAGCCGCCGGAACCCTGAACTGTGTCTGCAAGCATCTCTGCTTTACCTCGATTCGCTCTGTATACCCACTAGCAAGATGTGTCCTAAGGTATCAGAAAAGCCTACGAGAGCTTATTTTTGGGGTCTGGGACCACTCAAAAAATTTTTCTCCATATAGATTAAAGATAATTGCTTCTTTGCTTTATGCCGTTTCAGCTTACAAAAGGTTTCACAGGAATGCTCGACTTTGGGATAGTGGGGGAAACCGGAAGTCCCCAGGACTTCACACAATGAAGTGACATGATAAGGTCTGCATGGTAGGATATGTACTCTGGCTACAATGGTGACAAGAAACTGGAGGAGTCAAGGTGTGGTGGAGGACAGGATGGGCACATGTGTCACTGTCCACGGATTCTGCTCTACAGCCATTAAATCCACTAGCTGAATATGGACAAGAGAGACTGCGTTTACAAAAACACTGGTCTTTATTACAATCACCTTATGACTTAACCAATATTTAAAAGGATAGTTAATACTTTACATATTTTTAAAGATTGTATTTATTTATTTGACAGAGAGAGAGAGAGAGATCACAAGTAGGCAGAGAGGCAGGCAGAGAGAGAGGGAGAAGCAGGCTCCCTGCTGAGCAGAGAGCCCGATGTAGGGCTGGATCCCAGGACCCTGAGATCATGACGTGAGCTGAAGGCAGAGGCTTAACCCACTGAGCCACCCAGGCACCCCTAAAAGGATAGTTAATACTTTAAAGAGGAAAATATGTGATGCAGTAGTCCAGAGAGTCAATTACTAATAGTAAACCTTGAGGTGCAGACTTCCTCTGAATTACGTCATCGAGATTTTTCTGGGTGTCACCTGGGGTTTTAGTTTTGAATGCTGTAAAGGCTTTGTGGCTCATAGGCTGCTCACTTATTTGTTTTATCCTCCTGGTTTTTGCTCACTACAACCATTTCTGGGCACTCCAAAGGCCCTAAAGCCGAAATTCATTATGCCATGGCTCTTAGCAGAATGGGAAGTTCTTCCTGTTGCTAGAGACCAGAGGGCCTGGCAGTGGCCTGGTTCCTTGCTTCAGGGGGTCAGTCTCTCCACAGCTCAGGCATGCTATAACCTCATGGGCAGTGGGCCACTATTTTGGCCAGCAACACCCTGCCACAGTTTCCCTTGAGGTATTGCTGGGAGGACCGGCTGCCTGCAGGCATTAATTACCTACCAACAGGCCTAATAACTTTAGATTCTCTCTACACCACGCCCTACCCTTACCCATAAGAATCTTTTAAATTTTATCTGGGAAACAGCATATGGAGCAGTCATCGTGCCCAGTGGCTCTGCACTTCCTCAGAGTATGAAACAGTGCTGAGAAATCTGGAAATGCTGACTTGGACTTGTGTCCATCAGGGGTGTTCCTCTGCTCCAGCGCACTCTCTTGCTGGAAGATTCCTGAACACCGAGAAAGGCTCTCTGGGAGCCCTTGCACCAGCCCAAGCTGATGGTGAGGTCTTGTGAAAAGGCTTACTATGAAAGGGTCACCCAGAAGGAGGGCCAGGCAGAAAGACCTCCCCAGGAGTCTCTCTGATGAGGAGGACGATCACCACCGTATGCGCCTGCTGCCACTTCTGCCTCATTCTCTTTCTGTGGAGAACTCGGCATTTCCTTTTTAGTGGGGCAATCACCACTTGAAATGCCTCCACTGAAAAGTCCAGCTTGGCGAGGCTCAGCACTAGGGAAACACCATTCCTTCCCTCATGCGTGAAAGTGTCAGACAGCTGAGCAGGAACAATAAGCATGGATCCCAGGGATCCTACACCTACCTACACCAAGAGACCAGTCGTATACAAGCAGTTACGCGCATGCGCTGCCCAAGGCATGTACTAGGAACCTTAACACTAAGTGTTCAAGACCGTGTAGTAGTAAGGATTCCAGATCTCCCATATGTTCATCAAATTTTGTTGTTCAATTCTCCATGGCTAGTAACCATTTAGAGTGGGCTAGATTTTGTTAAATCTCTAAGTGATGGTGGGGTAAGGTCTTTTTTTTTTTTTTTCCTGTAATTCTTCTTTGGACTATATTCACGAAGGGCCCTCTATAAAAATCTTGGCTTACATATAAAACACATGGCTATTCTAATGCCTTTACATACACTGGCTCAAGATACTTCCCGTCCCTATAGATTACAAGTCACAGGCAATAGATCTGAACAGAAAACTCTGCATCTGTAACCCTCAACAGGAAACTGAAAAAGGATGGGGTGTGTAGAGGTCCTAGTGGGGGGTGGGAGCAGACAGGTGAAGTAGAAAGAAAGAAAGAACTGGACACCGAAGCCTGGTCGTTAAGAGTGTACACTGCTCTATATCGCTCTGTCAAAGCAAATCTCCATCATGACACATAATAATGAACCGATAAAAACTGAGAATAACGTGCTAAGCTCTGGACTCAAGGAGTCCTCACAACAACACTCTGAGGGAGGCATTTCATCCCTATTTGACAGAAAAGGAAACTGAGGCTTAGTGGGAGTACCTTGCTTAAGTTCAAACAAGTGGTGGGTTATAAATCCAGGGAAAACATTCCTGATCAGTTCTTTTTACTACCCTCTACAATTAACAATGAATTGACCCATGTTATGAAAACATATAAACCTAAAGACTGGGGGAGGGGGGGGTCTTAAACTGGCTTTGAAAACTGAGTGTGGCCAGCAAGGGTAGGGGCACACCCAACATCTGTACTTTTTTGGGGAGGTGGGGTAAAGATTTATTTATTTATTTATTTATTTGAGAGAGAATGAGAGAGAGAGACAGAGAGCACAAGCAGGGAGGAGAGGGAGAAGCAGGCTCTCCACCGAGCAGGGAGCCTGACATAGGGCTCGATCCCAGGACCCTGGGACTGTGACCTGAGCCAAAGGCAGCCGCTTAACTGACTGCGCCACCCAGGCACCCCCCAACGCCTCTACTTACAGGCTTCCTCACCGTCTATGCAGTTCCAGGGTGCTGAGTGTCATGGGCGGGATAACTGCCAGGAAATTACCAGAATTGTTACCTGAGAATCTGAGGCTATCAGCGGCACTTTTAAATCTAAAGGGTTGTTAGAAGATAAATTATTTCCTGTAGTTTCTTTCTCCTTGGCACTCGTTTTGATACGCATGAGAGTTGATAAAAAGTACACATTATTGAATGGAAATTATTCTGTGTTTCCAAATTGCTGTCATGTTAAGTAATTCACTTCTCTATTAAACACAAAATTTAATTTTCCAGTTGTTGTACATTTTGACTTCTCAGGACTGCTTTTTGCTTTTCCTCACGTGTTTTCTGTGGTAAGGTGGAATTACGGTTACGAAAGTCTCTACGCTCACAGATTATTTTCCTTTAGCTTTCAGTGCACCCCTAAGGAGATCCGTCCCTGCAGAAATGTCTCTACCAATTGTTGTAGTTTGCCACCATACAAAAACCACATTTGTCTTTTCTCATGTGGGTGTTTTTTTTCTCTCACTTTTTGCTGCTGAAACTCACGGACTCAAAGCAGTCCCACCAAAAATGACTCTAACGCTATTTCCCATCTAGGATTGGCGAAGTGGTTGAAATTCACAAGTGAGTAAAACAGCTCTGGCCTGGAGAAGCTGCCAGACTAGGGAAAAACACAGGCATGTACAAACTGGCCCTTCAGTACAACAGGCAGAGAGAGAGGAACTGTTACAGGAGCCCAACATAGGAAAACCAGAATTCTGCCCCGAAGGGGTCAACAAAGCTTGGTTTTAGTACACATTTTGAGTTGAAAGTTGGCTTTCATGCGTTATGAACAGAGGATTTATTTTAAGAGCAAAAGAAATGCTAGAAATCATCTTATGACCTAAGTTTGTATTTTTGATTTAGCTAATCACTAACAAAAAATCCTATCTTAAAATACATTTTTTAGAGCCCTTGGTTGTTTTTTTTTTTTTAAAGAAAAATTCATTTATTCATTTATTTGAAAGAGAGTGAGAGAGAGAGAGAGCTAAGATGGGGGAGAGCCAGAGGGAGAAGCAGACTACCTGCTGAGCAGGGAGCCCAATGTGGGGCTCGATCCTGGGACTCCAGGATCATGACCTGAGCTGAAA